TAGTATTAGTACTTTTCTTTTGCCACTAAAGCCACTTTGGTCATTTATAGCCATTTGTTTATGGTGGGTATAGTAACAATGAGATTTCTAAATATTGTAATGATTGATATTCTAAAAATAGCATTCAAAAATTAATTTTAATATAATGACTGACAATAAAAGAAAATTTTTTAACAATAGTATCACCGATTAAATTTGGGAAAGCGTATTTTAATTGGTGATAACAATTATTTTTGTTTTTGCATGGATCAGAATGAATAGGGATCAACGAATTGATTTTTTTATTAGCGAATAATTTTGGTTAAAGAAGATAAAAGTTTTAAATAAAATAGAAATATTTTATTTATTTAGTTTTATTTAGTCGAAACTAATTTATTAACTTATTACCAAGTTAATTTTTATTATGAAACTTTAAGACAATGTTATTTTAGAAGCAAGTCGAATTTGAGTGTCTTTTATACAATTAAATTAATTAGTAACAACTTCATTGCAATCTAGCATTCTAACCGCGATATCGCGACGTAACATTCTAACCGCGACGATAATTTCTAAATAAAGTCAATTAATTTCGACGTTATACGAATAAAAATACAAATAAAATAATAAAAATGTAAATAAATATGAATAAAAATAAAATAAGAAATAAAATATAAGGAATAAATAAATGTAGATATAAAAATAAAGTAAATAAAGTAAAAAGAAATAAAAGATTTGGTTCGGAATTAGGGTATTTTGACTAACAAAATTAGCATGTCAAATAATTTTTATATATTTGAATACCTAACACTATCAAATATCTGTGTAATAAATTACATATAATTAAATCATGATAAATGTAACAATTTATGTAAATAAATAAGAAATAGTCTAAACATTATAGTCAAACAAATTATTATTTTATTTTACTTTTTAAGTTTAGAAAAATTTGGATAGTTAAACATCATGCATACAGGCATGCTCAGTAAAAATGTAGTTTTTATTTTTTCTCACACATAAAATTTTAAATGGATAATTAATATCCCAAGGTCCACCCATTAGTTAATCAATATAACAAAACCAACTCAATTATTTAAAATCAAAGTAAATATTATCTTTGTTGATTCTTATTTATCCAGTGGTACCTGTTATGTGTATATTAATTGTTTTTATAATTAGATGAATAACAATGATGAATTGACTTCATTACAAACTAATAATCATTTAAGAAGAAAAATTGGTAGACCAAGAAAACCAATTTGGCAACATTTTACTGAAATTGGTAGCTCTAACAATAATAACAATAATAAACGACCTGGTGCAAAATGTAATTACTGTGGTCAACAATGGGCTTGTGGGAAAAGTTCTGATATGATATCTCATATTGCATTGTCATACACTAAACCTCCACCACCTGATATACGTATAAAGTTTCAAAATGTATTGCAAAATGATGAGATTAGTGAGGATGATGATGATGTAAATAATAATTCAAAAAAAAAACAATAACAAACAAAAATTTTTGATCATCTTGAGAAAAAAACAATTACAAATGAAAAACAACTTAGATGTTCATATGCTTTAACAAAATTTTTTGTTTGTGGAATTCCATTTTGGATTGTTGAAAACCCATTCTTTGTAAATTTTATTACTAATTTATGTCCTGGATTTCATCTTCCTAAAAGAACCACATTGTCTACTACATTTGTTAATTTAGAATGTGCAAAAGTAATTTCAAAAATTAACAATGGCCTTGTTAATGAGGTTAATCTTACATTAGGTATTTATTTATTTATTTTATCAATAATTTTAAAAATTTGACTAAAATTTAAAATAAATCAGGTTTGGATGGTTGGACTTCTCCAGCAGGACAATTATTATATATTTTTGTAATTATGACATCAGATAGAAAAGAGTATGTACACTCTTTAAAGAATTTTTCAAAAGATTCACACACTGGAAACTTCTTATGTGCTGAAATATCATGAGTTCTTAATGAAGTGGGTGTGAATAAATTTTCTGCTGTGGTCTCTGACCATGCTGCGAATATAGTTTTAGCAAAAAAATTAATTTCTGAACAATATCCTCATATAGTACCAATGCGATGCATTGTGCACCACATCAATCTCTTAACTAATGATATTATGAAATTAGAATGGTCATCAAAATTAATTAAAGAATGTAGAAAAATTGTCAAATTTTTTACTAATTCACATGCTGCTGGTGAAAATTTGAGAGAGGAAATTATTAATAATCGGATAATAGGCGGGGGTTTAAAACAACATGTAAAAACTTGTTGGACAACAGCATTTGACTGTACAAACTCCATAATAAGATGTCAAGTGGCAATTAAAAATGTAAGTTTTTTTTTGTTTTTAGATTTAAGTCAGTGATGTAGTTAACATTTTCTTTATATAATTTAGTTGGTAGAAAACAATTCATATTTATTTAATAACAATATTTTGTCAATTTTGAATCGTCATAATTTTTATTGTGATGTTGAGGACCTCCAGACAATTCTTGATCCAATTAAGAAAGCAATTGTCATGCTTGAGCATAGAAGTGCCACTCTGGCTGATTGTTTTATTTGTTTGATAAAATTGGCAGTGATTATTAAGGAATTTCCACAAAATATAAATAATTCCTTCCAAAGAAGATGTCAGTTAGCATTTGATAAACATTGGAGTGAGTTTAATTTTGAGCTGTATTTACTTGGTTATTTCCTTTATCCACAATTTAAAGGTAAAGTACTATTACTATGTAATAATAATTTCAATTAACAAAATTTGATTAAATAATGATCAATTTAGATAAAGGATTGCATGCCAACACTTTTCGAATGATATGTAAAAAAGCACTTTGCATTTGGAAATCTCTTGGGGGTGGCAATACTTCTGCAAATGAATTAGTTGCACAATTGTCAAATTATTCATTAAAAATCCAACCATATGATTTTGAATTTGTTCCTGAACTACATTCTGTAAAAAATTGGTGGTTGATGTGCAAACAAAAAAATAATCATATACAAAAATTGGCTTTAATGATTAATGCAATTTCTCCTCATAATGTTAGTTGCGAAAGGATGTTTTCAGTTTAGGATGGTATATGGATAAGAGACGTACTAGGTAATTAATTGGGGCATACTACAACAAAACCAGACAAAGTGAACATTGGTATAACCAAGAATTTTAGGGATCAAAATTTAGTCATTTGTAATGTGATC